TGATCCCATTACCCATAACGAGGAAGGCATTCCCCTCCCTGGGAGCTGAGAGCACTCACTGTCCCCATGCTGAGCCCCAGGGTCATCTGTCCAGGTGAGGGGATGTCTGACCTGCTGCAGAGCCCAGCTCTGGCTGGAGCAGGGCACAAACAGGAGCAAGATTCATGGTGCCACAAACACAAGTGAACACCACCAGAGGTGACACAGAGGTTACCCTACAGCTTCCCTTCCCAAAGCACTTTCCAAAGGGAATAACAAAGTTACAGTTAATGCAGTAGTCGTCCATGTGGCTGAAAATAGCTCCTGACCTGGAACACAGGATTTGTCCAAGTCTCTGTCGTAGGTCACATAGGAAGGTCCATTCAATCAGCAGAGTTTTAGGCTGGTGCCTTTTTTGACAGTTAAAACTGCTGAATTCGTTTATGGCTAAAAATAGAATGCCAGGAAGATATTTTGAAAGTGCTGCACTCAGGGGCCTTCATCAGAGGTGAGCTAAACTTAGAGGGACTGAGGCAGGAAGAGAAGTGTGTGAGTGACACCTCCATGGGACAGCTCCAGCCTCTGGGGACCAGGCTCCTGCCTGCAGTGCCTGGCTTGTCTTTAGGGGAAGGAAAAATGGAATCATTCCAGGCACCAGCTCTTTAGAGGCCTGATGCACTTAAAATTTAGAGATTATAATGACCAAGTAAAAGCTTATTTCCTTTTAAAAAGGATACTGCCAAGTGTTTCACATTCATTCTTCTTCCACAGCTAAAAGGAAAAAGAATTTTAAAAGCAGAGCAGTCACAGACAGTCTCCCAAGGAAATTTAAATTGGTAAGTGCAAACCATCCAACACCAGTTTGGGATGTGTCCCTGCATCATCCAGCACCAGTTTGGGATGTGTCCCTGTGTCTCTGCCTTCATCCATCACCAGTTTGGAATGAGTTCCTGTGTCCCTCCCTTCATCCAACACCAGTTTGGGATGAATCCCTGTGTCTCTGCCTTCATCCATCACCAGTTTGGAATGAGTTCCTGTGTCCCTCCCTTCATCCAACACCAGTTTGGGATGAATCCCTGTGTCTCTGCCTTCATCCATCACCAGTTTGGAATGAGTTCCTGTGTCCCTCCCTTCATCCAACACCAGTTTGGGATGAATCCCTGTGTCTCTGCCTTCATCCATCACCAGTTTGGAATGAGTTCCTGTGTCCCTCCCTTCATCCAACACCAGTTTGGGATGAATCCCTGTGTCTCTGCCTTCATCCATCACCAGTTTGGGATGTGTCCCTGTGTCCCTGCATCATCCAACACCAGTATGGGATGTGTCCCTGTGTCCCTGCATCATCCAACACCAGTTTGGGATGAGTCCCTGCCTCCTGCTCTGTGACCACCGTGTCTCTTGGTGTTTGTGTGACTCTCCTGAGCGCTGCCCTGTCCCCCGAGTCACAGAGCCGGGATCCCCCCCTGCAGCCCCGGGGGGCTCCGTTCTCCGTTCAGTTCAGCGCTAACGAGGGGCTGGGGTGTGAAGTTGTGAAGTGACTCACGGGAGAGGAAGGGACTGAACGCTCCTCTCAGTTAATCCTGCAACCCCAAAACATTCTGAGCAGAGCCAGGGAGTGCCCAGAGGGAGGGATTTGCCGTTCAGAACTCTCCGGGCACACCTCATCCCTGATTCTACAAGAGGAAGAGGATCTGTCACTGCATCAACAGCCTCTTCTTTACAGGACTCGGAGTGCACCCATGCAAACAGGGCTTCAAGAGTGCTGGAACAATACAGGTGTTCCACAATGACTGTTCTACATCGAATAATCTCTATTTTTGTGTTAATATTTTTTTTCTTTGGCCATGACGATACTGAAGTGTCATTTTCACAGAAGTCAAGTGAGATTCAAGCCCCTCTGTACTAACAGGGGGTTCTGAGGAGTACAAACACTGCTGGGTAAGCTCTGTGCCTGCAGCTAAACCATAAATGTCACATTTTTGTGCAATTTTGTGGAAAGAAGCAGGCTAAAGGTGTGTCCACCCTCACTGAAGGCTTAAAACTCACAGTGTTCATCTCCTGACATCAGTGCAGAGTCATTGAACAGAATCACAGTGAAGGGACCTTAAAGATCCTCTCATTCCACCCTGCCCTGGGCACAGACACCTTCCACTGTCCCAGGCTGCTCCAGATCTCCATGTCCAGCCTGGCCTTGGGCACTGCCAGGGATCCAGGGGCAGCCAGGGCTGCCCACCTTCCCAGGGTGTTTTCTTAATATCTAATTTAAAGCATTTAAATCTAAATCTGTTATGGCCTTTCCCTGAGGTACAGAAGGACAACACTGTCCCATGGCTTTGCTTTCCCTCTCAGGCTGAGCTGAGCTGCTGCTCCTCTATCTATACCTGTGCTACATGGAACAACATTTCTGTTCCAGTCTAAGATGTGACTCCCAGAAGTAAACTTGAGCATTTCATGCTCAACATTTCCTGTTTTACAAATGACAGTGAAACAAGACCAGAAAGATGATTTAATATAAAGGCTCTGGACCTACAGGATATAAGGCCAGGATGGCTGTCCCTGGAGCCCTGGCAGTGTCCCAGGCCAGGCTGGGCAGGGCTTGGAGCAACCTGGGATAGTGGGAGGTGTCCTTGCCCATGGAATGGGTTTTAATGTCCCTTCCTGGGACTAAAAGTACCAACCTACAAACATTGTAATTACAAACAAATATAGACTCACCAGGGACCAGGGAGGAGAGCTTGATGTGTCCAGAAGACACAAAGAGCTGGCTGGTCCAGCCCAGGCTTTGCTGGTGAATGGGCCAGCTTTGGGTCATATCCCTGGATTTGGGCAACCCCATTCCCAGCTCTGCTCCATCCCACCCCTTCCCCAGGCAGTCCCACACCACCACCTCACTCCTCAGTTCGTGGACAAAAACACCTCATGCTCTAAAAAACAGAAACCAAAATGAGCAGCAATGGCACCCAAGGGCTCCAAGAGCTCTGAGCCACCCTCTGTCCAGCATCCAAGCCTGCCATGGTCACTGTCACACCAGCTCCATGTGTCACAGTCACTGTCACAGCAGTTCTGTGTGCCACAGTCACTGTCACAGCAGGTCACTGTCACAGCAGCCCAGTGTGCCATGGTCACTGTCACAGCAGCACAATGTGCCACAGTCACTGTCACAGCAGCCCAGTGTGCCACAGTCACTGTCACAGCAGCTCTGTGTGCCCCGTGTGAATGTCCCCTCCCCAGGGCCAGCACTGCCACACCTGCCCAGGGACACCCAGCAGCCGGGGTTCACACCAGGGCACATGGAAAGGAGCTAAACCCCAAACTTACACAGGGTTGGTACAGCAGGGATGCAGTTCATTAATCCAGGCCCTGGAACTGGCACAGGGCTCACACAGGCCTGGCCCGGGTGGGCTTGTCCCAGCACAGCGTTATGCCCACCACTGTCACCTGGGCTCACAAGCTTCTGTCAGCTCTCCCTACAACAGAAACACTGCCCTTGATAACAGGAAATTCCCATTTTCCAGGGAAAAGGGCTGCACTGTCAATCACTGCTCACAATTTCAGATGTCACCCCAACACCTAATTAATCTGCTTTCTTGCACTCTGAGCTTACCTAATTACCTGGCCAGGTTACCAACAGGGATAAAGTGCCATGGAATTACAGGGCTTAGGCCAGGCATGGGGTCAGTGGGGCAGGGACAGAGGAGCTCACAGCCCTGTGCCCTCACACAGAACCAAGGGAAGAGGCCAGGCACCACTGTGGGGTAAAACAGCTGCTATTTCCTGTTGGGAATGATGTAACCTTCCTAATTAATTGTTTTAATTAATTGTAACCAGTGCCCACTTTCAGCTAGCACTAGTTAAGTTTCTTCACAGGCTCTTACAATTACTTTGATGAATAAATAACCAAAACCTCAAGTTTGCTAAAAGTAACCTTGCCAAGCTTCAATAAACAAAGCCAAAAAGAGTTGGAGATTGGACATCTGGGATCTTAAATTTATGACCCTTCAAGAGTGTTGAATTAGAAAATGCAGAGGCGATTAAGGCCTGGAAAGTTGGAGATTCCCTGAGAAAAATATTATAAAAGTAATACAGTATGTGGACCGCAGTAGTGTGAAGAATGAGAAATTAACAACCAAGAGCAGATAGAACACTACGTAATTAAGAGAATTATGTAACCTAGAGCCAATGAACATTAATTTGTTTTCTAAAAATGTATAAATAAGTGAAAGTTGTGTATCTGTGTCGGTGCAGAGGCTGGAGCTTTGTCAGCCTTGGCTGAGGATACAGTAATGCCGTACTCACTAACAGTGTCACACAGCCCTAAAGAGAGCCTTACTGACCCCAAGGGCTTTGGGGGATCTTGGGAACATCCCCACAGGCACCAGGGCTGCACCCGCTGCCCTGCCCAGGCTGTGCCTGTGCCTGGTGCTGCTCCCAGCCCCGAGACAGCTCCTCAGCCCCCAGCAGGCCCGGGTGACGGCAGTGTGACCACCTGAACCTGAACCTGTGTCTTCACCTATTAACATCCCCACAGGCACCAGCTCTGCCCCAGGGCTGCACCCGCTGCCCTGCCCAGGCTGTGCCTGTGCCTTGCTGCTCCCAGCCCCGAGACAGCTCCTCAGCCCCCAGCAGGCCCGGGTGACGGCAGTGTGACCACCTGAACCTGAACCTGTGTCTTCACCTATAGCTCAACCTGTCCCTGTCCCTTCACCTACACCTGTCCCTGTCCCATCACCTACACCTGTCCCTGTCCCTTCACCTATCCCTGTCCCTTCACCTATAGCTCAACCTGTCCCTGTCCCTTCACCTGTCCCCGCACCATCACCTAGACCCGTCCCTCTCCCACCCCCGCCTACACTTGTCCCACACTTGCACCCACACCTATAGCTATGCCTGCCCCTATCCCTGCCCTTATCCTGTTCCTATTCCTGCCTCTCCTCCTTGTCCCTCTCCTTCTTTTCCTTTCCCTGCCGTTCCCGCTCCCGTCCCTCAGGCCCCGCCGCCATTTCCCGCCGTGTGGGCCGGGCGCGGTGCGCGCCGGGAGCGGGCGGGGCGGCGGCGGAGCGCGGGCTGGGTACGGCCGGGCCGGGCCGGGGTCGTCCTGTCCCACCGCGGTCCCCCTGTCCTGAGGGGGTCCTCCTGTCCTGAGGGGATCCCTCTGTCCCACCGCGGTCCTCCTGTCCTGAGGGGATCCCCCTGTCCCGCCGGGGTCCCGCCCATCCCCGCGCCCCTGACGCCGCGTTTGCTTTGCAGGAGGCCCAGGATGGCGGAGAGACCGGAGGACCTGAACCTGCCCAACGCCGTCATCACCCGCATCATCAAGGAGGCGGTGGGTGCCGCCTCCTTGTCCCTCTCCTTCTTTTCCTTTCCCTGCCGTTCCCGCTCCCGTCCCTCAGGCCCCGCCGCCATTTCCCGCCGTGTGGGCCGGGCGCGGTGCGCGCCGGGAGCGGGCGGGGCGGCGGCGGAGCGCGGGCTGGGTACGGCCGGGCCGGGGTCGTCCTGTCCTGAGGGGATCCCTCTGTCCCACCGCGATCCCCTGGCCTGAGGGGATCCCCCTGTCCCGCCGGGGTCCCGCCCATCCCCGCGCCCCTGACGCCGCGTTTGCTTTGCAGGAGGCCCAGGATGGCGGAGAGACCGGAGGACCTGAACCTGCCCAACGCCGTCATCACCCGCATCATCAAGGAGGCGGTGGGTGCCGGGCCCGCGGCCCAGGAGCGGCGCGTCCGGAGACCCCGGCCCTGGGAGACCCCGAACCCGGGAGACCCGAACCCGGGAGACCCCGAACCCGGGAGACCCCGAACCCGGGAGACCCCGAACCCGGGAGACCCCGAACCCGAACCCGGGAAATGCCGGCCCCGGGAAGCCCCGGCCCGAGGCTCTGCCCGGGGCTGTCCCCCTCGGGTACCGGGGCTGCAGAGTCCCGAGGGATGCAGCTCCCTCAGTGGCACTGTGAGAACCGGGCCCCTCCAAAACCTCGGCACACAAGTCCCTGTCTATAGAAAAATCCAGAATAATTCCCCGTGGTTAATTGAGTTCGTTCCTCTGGAGCTGTGAGGTGTTGCTGAGTGGATCTGGGCCTGGCAGGCGTGTCAGGAGCTGGGTGGTCGCAGGATGAGTTACCTGCAGACTGGCCAGACCCCAAATGCCAGTCACTGGGCTTCTGCTCAGCTCCGTGCCTTGGAGGGACACGTTCCTACTGCCCTTGGCTTCCTGCTGGAAGCAGAGCTGCTGGGACAGCACCCCAGAGCAGTTCTCAGTTCTTGTGAGCCCTCTGAGTGCCATAATGAACTGACACTTGAATTAGGTGAGTTTAAGTCGTTTCTAGCAGCTGCTGGTAAAAGTTGGGTTTGTTTTTCAGCTTCCTGATGGAGTCAATATTTCCAAAGAAGCCCGGAGCGCAATCTCCCGAGCAGCCAGTGTGTTTGTGCTGTATGCAACATCGTGGTAAGGACTTGGTGCCACAGTCACTGGGGCACTTGATTGACAATTCATCTCTGCTGGCCTGGGGACTCTTTTGCAGTGTTGTTTTTCTGTATTGCCTGTTTATAAAAATAAAGTAGTCTGCCAGGCTGCAGCAGGTGAGTTTGGACTGCTCAGAGCAGCCCATGGGAAGGTAGCTCTGGACACAGCCACGTCCCAAAAAGGGGGTCCCAAACTGCCATTAACCTTAGAGCATGGCTGCACAGCCTTCCTGGCAAAGGCAGGGGCACTTGACTCACTTTCAGGCTCTTCATCACAAAGCTGTGTTAGGGCAAGAGCTGCCACAGAGGACACAGCCACATTTTTGGGGTGGCTTGGCACGTTCTCTGCAGGCAGTCGTTTCTCTAGTGTCATGTGGTGCTAGGACTGTGTGGAACTGTCACAGTCAAGGTTCAGCTTTCTCCTTCTCCTGCTTGTGGAAAAGTTCTTTGCAGGCAGAAACTAACACTGTGGGAAAGCACAGACAGCCAGTGTAAACAAAAATGTCTCAAATCTCCTTTAGTAAATGATAAAAAACCCCTAAATGTTTTGGGGATGGCTTTTTAAAGTTACTTATGACTTTAATAAACAAGATGGGATTGCTAACAGTTCCCAATTACCTCTCTTTTTGCTTCTGCCTAGTGCAAATAACTTTGCCATGAAGGGGAAGAGGAAAACCCTGAATGCTGGGGACGTGCTCTCTGCCATGGAGGAGATGGAGTTCCAGAGATTCGTGGCCCCTCTGAAGGAATCCCTGGAAGGTACCGTGCTCTGTGGGTGTCCAGGGGCTCTGAGAGGCACTGAGTCCTGTTTTCCTTCAACGCTGGACAAGCAACACTTATTGCCTGTCTTGTTTCTCTTCTCTTTGCCCAGCATCCTACACTGCAGTTTGCCTGGGGAGTAACTAATGTGCACCTTAACGGGACTGGGATAACATTATTGCACAACTGATGAGGATTGAGAAAGTCTCATCTGCTCTCACTCCCCTATTATGTTTATCTAAGGAAAGCCGTAGGTGCTGCCTGTAAATGTGACCTCCTGCATCCTTTTCAGCATTTTTCTGCTGAAATTTAACCTGATTTCCTATGGAGCTGCTCAGCACAGCTCAGCTCATAGGGTGAGTTGTGCTCTGAGTTCCCTGCTCCCCTCCAAAGCTGGGAGAGCAAGTGGACATTGGATCTGAGCCACTGACCTGTCCATGCCAGCGCCAAGCCCTCACTGTTCCCTCTCCTCCAGTTTACAGGCGTGAGCAGAAAGGAAAGAAAGAGGCCAGGAAAGATAAAGACAAGAAGGCAGACTCGGAGGAGCAAGATAAGAGCCGAGAGGAGGACAATGATGACGACGATGAAAGGATGGAGGAGGAAGAACAAAACGATGAGGAAGAGGTGGACAACTGAGCTGGCTCGTGGGCAGGGGCTGGGGTGTGCTCAGAGGGATGTGAAGGCTGTAAATCGACCTTGCTGCATCCCCTCGTGTTTCCACTAGAGCTTTGTGCTGCCCCTCTGTGGCCTGTCCCTTTTGGCCTGTGATTTGTACATAAAGGACTCTGCTGAAGCTGTTCCCGAGGCAGGGTGGCTCCTCCCTGTGCCTGGGGGGCTTTGGTCCTCCCCAGGCTCTGGGCAGGCACTAACTGGGCTTTTGATGCTGGGCTGGCTCTGAAAGAGAGAAAAAAAGAACTGGTGGGTGCTCAGTGCAGAAACTGGCCAGGAGAACATGAGACTTGAACATGAGGGGCTGAATCCAGTAGATCATTCACAGATCACTTCTGGGGGGTAGAATGTAGGTGATGGTGTCCAGAGGCTTGGAAGCTGCACATGGAAGCTTTTGATCCAGTTGAGTTGTTTTTTTCCCTTTGTTTCCTTGCATCCTGGCTGTGCCTTCTCTCCCTGCTGTACTGTGACAGTGACACTGTGTCCTCCAGCCTCAGCAGCAGCACAGGGTGGCTGTACAGGGAGCACGAGTTCACTCACTGACTCACCCAAACTAACCCAAATCCGGAAAATGCACAGTGCTGACAGGGTAACCTGTGCACTGACAGTGGCTTTGAGAGCCCTGAGAGACAAAGAGGAGGCTGATTCAAAATCTGATTTAAAATCTGAAGCACAAGGAGGGGCTCAGATGAGGAGCAGGGCTGAAAACAGGTGGCTTTGTGCAGTGCTGGGGTGTGACAGGTCAGTGGTGGCACTGAGGCCTGGTGGTCTCCCCTGTCCCCCTGCAGCAAGCTGAGATGTGCTAGCACAGAGTACTGAATCGTGGTGGTTGTTTTTTTTCCTTTTTCCCAGCTGGGATGAGCTAATTCCATCCAAGGTCCCTCTGTAGCCTTTGCTGGTCATTCCAGGGCCACGGATGCCTCTGGGAGGGCAGCAGGGTGTGCCCAACCAGGGGGCCAATGTGGTTTCACAAAAGGCTCCTGCAAGAAGGAAGGGTTGAGAGAAGCTGTTGGTATCCCTTGTGCTAGTGTAGGTTTGTGCTTTTCCACTTGAACTCTTAGTTCTGATGCACTTCTCCCCCAGAAAGTTTTAGATACATTTAAAACCCCCAGGTTTTGGTGATACGCCGTTTTAAAATAGCACTTGTGAGGAATCCTGGATCCTTTCCACCAAAAACCAGTGGCAGCTACCCACAAGAAGCACCCTGCCTTCCTGCTTTTCTGGCACGCTGGATTTTCACATGCACACAAGCCCAGCTTCTGAAAAGAACTGAACCAACACAGATTTTCTGCTGTCTAGTTTCTGCTGGCATTCAGTCAGGCTGTGGAAAGCCTGAGCTGATGATGTGTTCCTCACATTTCTGAAAAACACCCACCTTCCAGCTCTTTTCCTCTCTTTTTTTTCTCTTCAGCACATATCTGGGGTGCATATTCTGGAAGGGAACAAGATCTAAATAAAAGCCAGATTTTTTTTTTTTTTACAGAAATGGGAGTCTCATATTTTGGTCAGTTATAAAATGAGCAGGTTGTGGTTGCATAAGTGGGATGGGAGCAGGAAGTGCTCTGGGAAATTGTTGCTGGAGCAGCTGACATGGAGGAGGATGAGGAGAGGATGAAGGCTGCTGCAGCCTGGCCTCCTGTGAGAGGAGGAAGGGACTGTGGAGAGGATTTCCAGGTCACTGTTTGCTGGAGGAAGGAGCTGCCAGCTCCTCCTTGCTCCAGAGACAGGTTCCAGGCTGGGGGAAGAGCCAGGATCTGGATCCAGGGTTTCTGCACTGCAGTGAGCCAGGGAATGGTGCTTTGGTGGGGGAGCTGCAGAATGTCCTGCACTAACCCTGACCCTGGCATCTCCCCTGCTCTGAAAGACCAAGGCAGGGCCTGGGCTTCCCCCAGCACCCCAAAGCCCAGCCCCAGCTACCTCTGCAGCACCCCAAACCCTGCTCCACACCACCACAGCCTCTCAGCCATGCTCCTTAAAGCAAACGCTGCAGCACTCCAAACCCTCACAGCGCCCCAGTGCCCTGCCCCAGCCACTCCAGAATCCTAAAACCTGGCTCCAGGTCCTTCCACAGCACCCTAGCACTGGACTGCATAGACCTCCAGCACCCCAAAACCCTGCTCCCTGCCCCCCCTCAGCACCCCAAAACCTGGCTCCGGGTCCTGCAGCACCCCAGAGCTTTGCTCCTGCCTCCATGAACCCCCAAAACCTGCCTTCTGTCCCCCCAGCACCCCAAAGCCTGGCTGAGTCCCCCTGCAGCACCCCGGAGCTGGATTGCCTGGCCCCAGCAGCACCCCGAGGCCGTGCCCCGTGCCCCCCGGGCCCATCCCTGCCGCAGACCCCAAATCCCCGCTCCGCGTCGCCCCCGTCCCCCCGCGCCGCCCTTTCCGCGCTCCGCCGCGAGACTTCCCCCCCACCACCCCAAATCCTGGCTCTAGGTCCCCCTGCAGCACACCGGAGCTGGATTGTCTGGCCCCAGCAGCCTGGCCGTGCCCCGTGTCCCCCAGACCCCAAATCCCCGCTCCGCGTCGCCCCCGTCCCCCCGCGCCGCCTTTCCCGCGCTCCGCCGCGAGACTTCCCGCCAGCCCCTCCGCGCGGGGCGGGGCCATGCTGTGTGGGCGTGGTTATGCAAATCGCGGGCACAGTCGCACGGCGGGAGCGGACGCGGTGATCGGTGAGTGCCGGGACCGGGAACGGGAGCGGGGCTGGGAGCGGGCACCGGAGATGGGGCCGGGCGTCCCCCCCTCCTCCGGTCCCCGACCTCAGCCCCGTGCAGGGCTGCCGGGGAATGACTCCAGGGACGGGGCCCGGCCGCGCTTGGCTGCAGGCAGGAAGGGCAGCCCCGGGTAACGCAGCAAGGACAGCCCGGGTTTTGCTCAGTTTTGCTCGGTTTTTGCGCCGGTTTTGCTCGGTAACCGTGGCAACGGCGGGGGACGCACCGAGCAGCGTGTGATGCTGCGAGCTGGCGTCGGTCCTGAGCTCCCGCTTGTGCTGGGGTGTAATTTCAGACCCCTGAGCATCCCCGTTCCCGTCCTGGAGCGGGAACTCTGCCCTAACAGCTTGACCTTCCTAGGTAGCTCTTAATTAACCCCGTAATAGCTTGGCCTCTGTTAGTGGCGGTTAATTAACCCACAGCTCCGTTGTCTGCCTGGGGAGCTCCACTTTCTTAGAACACCCCGGTCCGTCCCCAGCTGGGATTTTGGGAGCCTGCATGTCCCTGGCATTTAGCTAAATAGTTGAGCTCACGTCTGAGCCGCGTGTGCTTGTGTGTCCTGAACTGCTGGGACCCCTCCTCCTGCCAGGATGAGGCGAGATGGAGGGACAAACCCTGCCAGCTCGTGGGGGCTGTGGGAGCCGGAGCAGCGCCGAGCCTGCCTCCAGCCCGCCCCCGAACATTGTCCGGTCTGTGCCGGGGTGTGCCTGGCTCCGCCACTGGGAAGTCGCTTCCCTTCCCTCGAGGGCAGCGGGGGCAGTGCCCGGGCACGGGCTGGGCACGGCTGCGGCTGCGGGCGCTGCGGCTTTGGGCCGGTCCCAGGGCAAGAGCAAAGGTGAAGCGGCTCCGCTGCCGACCTGTCCTTGAACTGCTCCGGTGTGCGCGGAGCAAAGCGCTTTAGAAACACAGGTTTGGGCCCTGGGCGTTGGGGAGAGGTTAATTCGCTCTGCCGGGATCCCGGGAGGAGCAGCCCCAGCCCCGGGCGCAGTGTCCCCACGGCACACTCCCGCAGCCCTGCCCTCCTTCCCCGGTGTGCCCGGCCGTGCCACCGCGGTGCCCTGCGTGGGCAGCAGCTTGTCCTGGACGTGGGGCTGGGGAGGAGGAGCCGGCCCAGCAGCCTGGGACCCGCCCGTGCCGCTCTTATCTCGGCCCTGCCACCGCATAATTTCAGACCCCTGAGCATCCCCGTTCCCGTCCTGGAGCGGGAACTCTGCCCTAACAGCTTGACCTTCCTAGGTAGCTCTTAATTAACCCCGTAATAGCTTGGCCTCTGTTAGTGGCGGTTAATTAACCCACAGCTCCGTTGTCTGCCTGGGGAGCTCCACTTTCCTAGAACACCCTAGAACACCCAGCTGGGATTTTGGGAGCCTGCATGTCCCTGGCATTTAGCTAAATAGTTGAGCTCACGTCTGAGCCGCGTGTGCTTGTGTGTCCTGAACTGCTGGGACCCCTCCTCCTGCCAGGATGAGGCGAGATGGAGGGACAAACCCTGCCAGCTCGTGGGGGCTGTGGGAGCCGGAGCAGCGCCGAGCCTGCCTCCAGCCCGCCCCCGAACATTGTCCGGTCTGTGCCGGGGTGTGCCGGGCTCCGCCACTGGGAAGTCGCTTCCCTTCCCTCGAGGGCAGCGGGGGCAGTGCCCGGGCACGGGCTGGGCACGGCTGCGGCTGCGGGCGCTGCGGCTTTGGGCCGGTCCCAGGGCAAGAGCAAAGGTGAAGCGGCTCCGCTGCCGACCTGTCCTTGAACTGCTCCTGTGTGCGCGGAGCAAAGCGCTTTAGAAACACAGGTTTGGGCCCTGGGCGTTGGGGAGAGGTTAATTCGCTCTGCCGGGATCCCGGGAGGAGCAGCCCCAGCCCTGGGCTCAGTGTCCCCACGGCACACTCCCGCAGCCCTGCCCTCCTTCCCCGGTGTGCCCGGCCGTGCCACCGCGGTGCCCTGCGTGGGCAGCAGCTTGTCCTGGACGTGGGGCTGGGGAGGAGGAGCCGGCCCAGCAGCCTGGGACCCGCCCGTGCCGCTCTTATCTCGGCCCTGCCACCGCAGCCGGGCCCGTTTCCTCCTCCTGCAGAGCGCGGCTTCTGAGCTGTGGCCTCTATCTGTCCCCTCCAGTCAGGTGCCTCTGGTCCCACCCGGCCCCCTCCCCTCCCTCCGGCGGGATTAACTGTTTAAAGCATTTTTTGGATTCTCGAGGTGGGTTTTGTTCACTGAGCCCTTTGTTTGCCATTGCCTGGAGCCCTGCCTGGAGCCAGGCGCCTGCTGGAGCTGCCAGCTCCCTTCACCCGAGGGCTGTCCCCTTCCCTGGAGTCAGGCCTGGGGCAGCAGCGTTCCAAGGGCTAAAAATGGCTTGCCAAGGGATGCCATGATGCTGGCAGCGTGCCTGTCAGCTGCTCTGCATCCCCCACGAGCACCACTTGATGTTTTTATTCGGGGTTTTTATACGTGTAACCCTTGAACGAAGAGGTCCACAATTGCAGAAGCAATTCCTTGGGGTATGAGAGGCTCAATTCCAGCCCTGGACTGAACACAGTTCCCCTTTGCTCCAAGTGTCCTGTGCACTGGGGTGCTCTGACAGAGTTTGGCTCCATATTAGAACATCTTAAGGGTCTTGAGTGTGTAAAATAGGTGAAACACTTCACGTTAAAAGTTTTCCAGAAGAACTGAGCCATCTCCCAGCTCTGTTACAAGGTGCTGGTGTAAAACTTTGTCCCCTGGATTCTGTGCTGGGAGCTGGAGCCGTGCCTCCAGGGGAACTCTGACCCCACTCTGTTCTCCAGAGAGTTTGGATGCAGGCTGAGGGTCAGAGAGGTTTCCTGCCTGGGGAATCCCTCCTGGGATGGACCAAGGCTGCTCCCCTGAGAGAGATCCCATCCTCCTGCTGCTCCATCTCCCTAGGAAAGCCCTGCCCTGCCCAGGATACTCAGGAACCCACCTGCTCCTTCAGAATCCCCTCTCAGCTCTGCTCCTGCCCACCTTCCTCAGGCTCAGATCCCAAAAACCCACACTCAACTTTGCTTTGTGTCCCAGGGCACCCGAGCTCCTCTGCACAGGGCGTTCAGGGGAGCAGCCAGCAGTCCTTGGAGCTGCTCTGCACAAACAGTCCCTTGTTGGGGTCGTGCAGCTGCTCCTCTGCACTGCAGCCAAACACCTCGTCCCAGGAGAGCTCCCTTCCCACGGCCCCTGCCATCACATCCACCAGCAGCGTGGTGCTGGGAATTGAACCCTCATGGAAATGTAATCTTAATGGGCTGATCACAGAATTATTACTAGATCTGCTAGGGAATAAAACATTGCTACAGAGCAAGCTTCAGCCATGGGATAAGTAATGATTGATTTATGTGTGAGTTTTGTTACCTCTGAGATCAGTTTTGCCCAACTCCGTGGTTTTCTTTATGCAGCAGTAAGTGGCCACTGGAGTTGTTTAACTGTGAGAGTGGTGTGAGAGCTTTAGACCCCTGGATGGTCCTGTGCCTCCAGTGCCCCTGCTCTTCTGTGACTGCACCTTCACACTGCAGCCATAAATATGTGCTGCTACACAGAATCATGGAATGGTTTGGGTTGGAAGGGACCTTAAAGATCACACAGAGCAGCTCTGTATCCTCTCCATACAAAACCACAATTTCTCAGCACTAAGGAAAAGTAAAATGAATGAAGAATGACCCTCTTGGGGCTCAGGGAAGGGAACCTGCAGAGGGTGAACATGATTCTGCTGGGGGAGGTTGTCAGTGGCTGGAAATGGGGGTTTCATACACAGAACTGGGAGGTTTGTGGGGAGGAGTCACTGACACCCCTGTTAGTGGGAAGGGTGTGCTGTGACTGCTGGTGGGGGTCCTGCAGCACCCCAGGGTGCCCGGGGTAGGTGGGGTGGAGCTGCCTGGGCTGCAGCTCATGGCCTGGCACGGGACAGGGCCAGTCCTGCAGGGGCTGCCTGGATCCCAGCCCCTCCTCACGTGTGCCAAGAGCAGCAGCTCACCAGGGCCCTGCTGGTTTGTGTTGGGTCTCCTTCCCTGACAGCAGAGCCCACCATGCAGGCAGACTCCGTGCTCCACAGCGGCTACTTCCACCCCGTGCTGCGCTCCTGGCAGTGCACAGCCACCACCTTCGATGCCTCCAACCTCATCTACCCCATCTTTGTCACGTGAGTGAGCCCCAGCTCTCGGGGAGGGATGGGCCTGGCTCAGGGTGTCTGGCTGGGCCCATCCCTGCAGCCCCCCAGCTCTTAAATAGGTGCAGAGCCCCTGTGGACAAGTCTGGGAGAGAGGCTTCCTTCTCCCACCCAGTGCTCACGTCTCTGTCCCATCCACCTCCCACAGGGACAGCCCTGATGCTGTGGAGCCAATTCCCAGCCTTCCTGGACAAGCCAGGTAAGAACCCAGCCCCGCAGTCACTGCTGTGTCCTGTGTCTGGGGAGGGTTCATTTATGCCCTGAGCATGAGCCAGGGGGATGCTTCCACCCCTCTGGTTCCTGCTTTGGAGATCTCCAGCATCAGACAAGGTGGGAATGTTCATCCACTAAGGGAGTGGAGGGGGTCATGCAGGGAATGCTGGAAAAGTGTCAGTACTGGGAGGGACAGCACCAGGGGCTGGCTCTGTCCCAGAGCACTCCCAGGCTGTGTGGGCTGGGCACACAGGGAGGCTGCAAGTGAACAGGGTTTCCAGCAGCAGCCAGAAAACCTCTGCAAGGATGTGGGATCTGGTCCTGACTGGATCCCACTGGACTGGCAGCTCCCCTCTGCATCTGCTGCACATTAGCAGGGCTTTGGGCAGGGGTGCTGTGATGGGAAAGGGGGCTGGAGCTGCACCAGGGACACCACGATAAGGGATCCAAGGGCAGGGTATGCCCGTCCCTGCAGAGCAGTGTCCATGCCGGGCAGATAGCACTCCTGGAGCCCCAGATAAGGGCTCAGATTGTTCCTCCCAGTGTTCAGGCAACACCTCCCCTGTACCTCCAGCCACTGCCTGGTGATGCTGGATTGCTCACAGGGCAGCAGCCCCGTCCCAGGGCAGCTCTCTCCTTGGGGCAGGGCTGGGTGCCTGGCAGCTGCTTCCCTTTGCCCTGCTCCTCAGGTATGGAGTGAACAAGCTGGAGGGGATGCTGCAGCCTCTTGTTGAAGACGGCCTCAAGTGTGTGCTCATCTTTGGGGTGCCCAGCAAGGTCCACAAGGTCAGTGCATGTGTGTGGGGGTGCTGGGATAGCCACAGGGCTGTCACAGCAATGGGGGCTGGTCTCCTGATCAAACAGGAGCAGTTCAGGGTCCCTGGCTGTGATAGGTTATTGTAGTGATACCCAGAGAGCCCCCAGAGCTCTGCAGGTGGCCCCAAAGCCTGCCCTAGCTGCCCATCACCTTTTCCCTCAGTGGGGTCACACCATCCAGCCTTACAGGGTCCCACAGTTCAGGAAATGCTTCCTGGGCAGAGCTGCTGCCACGGAGGAGCCGGCAGGAAGTGTCAGCTGTGCATGCTGAGGTGTTTGTGTCCTCACAGGACGAGAGAGGCTCTGCTGCTGATGCCGAGGGCACTCCTGCCATCCAGGCCATCAGGAAGATCCACTCCACCTTCCCGGAGCTGCTGATTGCCTGTGATGTCTGCCTGTGCCCTTACACCTCGCACGGGCACTGCGGTGAGCATGGCCCTCTGAGCCTTCTCCTGCCTCTGGGAGCCCCTGGGATTTGCCATTTCCTGCTGAGGGTCTGGCCAGCTCCTGCTCCAAGACTTGGCTTCCCTGTACTGCTGTAGCTGAGCCTGGGCAACCTCTCCTGGGATTTGACCACAGGGTGGGAAGCATGGGTGGTTCAGACCCTCCCTCAGGCCCCTGGGTCTGAGTGTCCCTCCATGTCCCCCCTCTCTGCCTTCCCTTCCCTGGAGCACCCACGTGCTGTGTCCAGTCCCCAGCAGGCTCCTGGTCCTTATCCACCTCCCTTAACACACCGAGTTCCCCACTGCTGCTCTGAGCCTGGTGGTTCAGACCCTCCCTCAGGCCCGTGAGTCTGAGCATCCCTCCATGTCCCCATCTCTGCCTTCCCTTCCCCGGAGCACCCACGTGCTGTGTCCAGTCCCCAGCAGGCTCCTGGTCCTTATCCACCTCCCTTAACACACCGAGTTCCCCACTGCTGCTCTGAGCATCTCCACAGCTTGGCCCCAGAGCCACACTCCCCTGGGGACTGAGCTGTCCCCCCTCTGTGTAACCCCGGGTTTGTCTCCCAGGCATCCTGCGTGAAGATGGCACCATCCAGAACGAGCTCAGCTGCCAGCGCCTGGCCGAGGTGGCACTGGCTTATGCCAAAGCAGGTGGGGAGCCCTGGGCAGTGACACCCTAGTTTGGCTCTCAGCGCTGCCCCTCTCTGCTTTGGGCAGACCCAAAAGCAGCCTGGGCCTGGCTCTAACTGGGAGTGCTCCCCTGCACTGTCCTGGCAGCACCTGAGCCTCCAGTGTTCCCAACATCCCTGTCCTGTCTGTCCCTGCAGGCTGCCACATCGTGGCCCCCTCAGACATGATGGACGGGCGCATTGCAGCCATAAAGCAGGCACTGATCTCCAACGACCTGGGCAACAAGGTGAGCCAGGGACCTGTGTGTGCCAGGGCATGAGCCACGTCCATGGGGGGCTGCAGCACAGCGGGACAGTGCAAGTGGCAGGAGGGGCAAACCCCCCGTTGGTGCCACGGGCACTGCCCTGCCCCGGCACACACAGGAGGGGAATGTCCTTGGCTGGAGGGGAATGCCCAGCATGGTGCCAGACGTGTGGCAGGGGGAGGCTAAAGCTGTGGGAGGGAATCTCTCCTGTCCCAGCACTGGGATATGGCCCTGAGCTCACAGCCCCTGTCTGCCCTGCAGGTCTCAGTGATGAGCTACAGTGCCAAGTTTGCCTCGTGCTTCTACGGCCCCTTCAGGTGGGTCTGTCCCCAGGCAGGTGTGCCCAGCTGGGGCCAGGCTGGCTGGGAACGCATTCCCAGGGAGTTACTTGGGAAAGGGGCTTGCCCAGAGCCTGGGCTGCACGTGGGGCACACTGGTCACTTTGCAACACCCTACTCCTACTTCTCCATGCAAAAAGGACTTGCCCAGAAGAGGCTGGCTGGCAGCAAGGTCACTGAAGGGTGATCTTCTCCCCCAGCCCTTCACCTGCTCAGGTGCTAGTGGCAAGGCAGGCAGAGGGAGCTGCCTGCAGCTTCCAGGAGCAGTCAGGAGTCACAGCAGTCAACAGGGTGACTTCAGGGACAAGCCTCAGCTTAGTTAGCTGTTAGACCTTGTCCCAAGAACAGCCTGACCTCGGCAGGGTATCCCCAAGGAATCAACCTTGGAAAAGAGCTTGACATAATTTTACCCAGATTCTGGGCATGGGGGGAGCAGTGGGTGTTGAAACAGCTCCCAGGGCCAGCCTGGGCCTGTAGGACCTCGCAGAGCAATCCCTGGGTGCTGAACTGCGTTGGGAGTGCCCCCTTGTTCTGGCTCCGGTGCCTGTCCTGGCCTGTCCTCGTGTTTCTGGAGCTGTAGGAGGTGGGAGGCAGGGGATCCTCACCCCCTGCCCTCTGTCCTCTGCAGGGACGCGGCGCTGTCCAAGCCTGCCTTTGGGGACCGGCGCTGTTACCAACTGCCCCCGGGCGCCCGCGGGCTGGCCGTGCGCGCTGTGGTGAGCGTGGGGTGGGACCCTCAGTGGGGCGACTGTGGGCTGTGGGGTATGGCTGTGGGGTGGGACACCCTCAGTGGGGTGACTGTGGGCTGTGGGATATGGCTGTGGGGTGGGACACCCTCAGTGGGGTGACTGTGGGCTGTGGGGTGGGACACTCTCAGTAGGGTGACTGTGGGCTATGGGGTGGGACCCTCAGTGGGGTGTCTGTGGGCTGTGGGGTGTGGCTGTAGGGTGGGACACCCTCACACAGGGCCTGGGAGATCGCACCCCACAGGGCTTGGGGTGAGCAAGAGGTTGGGAGGCAAATGGTCACTGGTGTTCCCCTTCCATGAGCCAAAGAAACACAAGGCCCGTCAGCCTGGCAGAGCTGGTCCCAGTGTGCCTGAGGGCTGAGCACTGGGAGCTCTGCAGTTGCTGTCCCCATGTCCTGCCTGGCTTGGGCTGCCAGGTGCAGGGACACGAAGCCAGCTCTCCCCAGGCTGTATGGCGGGGGGAGCACCAGCCACCTTGGCCACGAGGGGCTCACAGCCTCCTGTGATCCCTCCTGGGGAAAACCACCACGGCTCCAAACTCCTGGGCGAAACCAAGCTGTTCTTGTCCCCGCGCTGCCGTGGCAGGACCGGGACGTGCGGGAGGGCGCGGACATGCTGATGGTGAAGCCGGGGATGCCCTACCTGGACCTCGTCAGGGACGTCAAGGCTCGGGTGAGGACCTGCGGGGGTCTGGGTGGGGGCTGTGGGTTCTGAGCGCCGGGACGGGCGCTGGAGCAGCGGGGAGCGCGGGCCGGGCTGTGCCCGGCGCTGACCCGCTCCCGCAGCACCCCACGCACCCGCTGGCCGTGTACCACGTCTCGGGGGAGTTCGCCATGCTGTGGCACGGGGCGCAGGCCGGCGCCTTCAGCCTGGAGGCGGCGGTGCAGGAGGCGATCACGGCCTTCAGGCGCGCAGGTGAGGCTGCGACCCCCGTGTCCCCCTCTGTGTCCCCCGTGTCCCCCCGGGCTGGCTCCAGCGTCTCGTCTCTCCGCAGGGGCCGACATCATCATCACCTACTTCACACCGCAGCTGCTGCGCTGGCTGCGGGAGGCGGCGGGCCGGCACTGAGCGCGGCCATTGCGGCCGGGGCGGTTCTCCGGGAGGGGAGGGAATTCCGGCAGGGGAGGGAATTCCGGCAGGGGCGGCGCTTCCGGGCAGCGGCGCAGGTGGGCCCCGGCACCGCAGCCCCGCGCACCGGGAGCTCGGCCCGGTGAGCGCCGGCACCGCCCCGCACCCCCGAGACCCGCGGGGACACCGCGAGTGTGCCCCTGCCCTCCAGCGGTGCTCCCGCCCCGCACGCCCTCCCCAGACAGCCGGCCGTGCCCCTGACCCCCAGCCCGGGCCCAGCCCCCGTACCCCAGCTCGCCCCGTCTGCGGCTCCCACGTGGGGAGCGTCGCTGCCCCGGCCTGGCAGACTTTGCCCCTGGCGCTCGGAGCAGGGTTTGCCCTCCCTGCCGCGTGTCCGTGCTGACCCCAGAGGGGCCCCGAGCCCCGCCGCAGGGACACCGGCGCTCGTACGGGGCTGGACAAAAGGCCGGGGTGCCCGCAGCCCTCGGATGTGACTGGCCCCGCGGGGCTCGGCGGTGGCCCGGGGCGCTCTGAGGCCATGCTCAGGCTGCGCCTGCTGACGTGGGACGTGAAGGACACGCTGCTGCGGCTGCGGCAGCCCGTGGGCCAGAGCTACGCGGCCGAGGCGCGGGCCCAGGGGCTGCAGGTGCAGCCCGAGGCTCTGGGGCGCTCCTTCCGGGAGGTGTACGGAGCCCAGAGCCGGCGCTTCCCCAACTACGGCCGCGGCCAGGGGCTCAGCTCCCGGCAGTGGTGGCTGGACGTTGTCAAACAGAGCTTCAGGCTCTCGGGCGTGCAGGACGAGGCAGCCCTGACGAAGCTGGCGGAGAAGCTCTACCGCGACTACTGCAGCTCCAGCACGTGGGAGGTGCTGCCGGGAGCCGCCGAGACCCTGAGCCGGTGCCGCCAGCTCGGCTTCCGCATGGGAGTCGTCTCCAACTTCGACAGCCGGCTGGAAGCCATCCTCTCGCAGTGCAACCTGCGGCACCACTTCGAGTTCGTGCTCACCTCCGAGGCCGCGGGCTTCGCCAAGCCGGACGGCAGGATCTTCGAGCAGGCGCTGCGGCTCGGCGGGGCCCGGCCCGAGCAGGCGGCCCACATCGGGGATGACTACAGCCGGGATTACCGGGCGGCCCGGGCCGCGGGCATGCACAGCTTCCTGCTGCGGGCGGCCGGGCAGCGCGAGGGGCCGGAGGTGCCCCCCGAGCACGTCCTGCCCACGCTCGGCCACCTCCTGGCTCGCATCGAGAAGGAGTAGCTGCGGTTCCGAGGGGGCCGGTGCTGCTGCCGAGTGCTGAACTGTCCTGGCATGAGATTTCTTGCTGCCAGGTGGGCAGGGAAGAGCAGCAAGTCTGAGCTGCCTATGGAGCAGGAGGAGTGTTCATGCAATAAAACACTTCTGATGCCCAGCAGCGGAGCAGATGTGTTTCATGGCTCTAAAAACACCACAGAAAAGGGTCAGCTGTGGTGTCTTCCCCTAACAGGGCTGGGACTGGGTCACTGCAGAGGTTCATTCTGGCAGGAGATGGAGGCAGATACTGAGACTTATCCCTTCTCAGTCACCCCAGGGACAGGCCCAGGTATTCCCCAGTGCAAGTAGAGGCCCTGTCCAGGGAAGGTTTGCCCACACAGGGCACCCAGGACACCCCTGCCCAGGCCCTGCACTCTCAGTGTACCCCAGCTTTGCCACCTCACCAATATCCCCCCCTTCCCAACAGCAGTCACAGACAGGAGGTGCCTGCAGGTCTGCTGTGGGCAAAGCAGTCTGGAGCTGGGCAATTTCACTTAATGAATTGCCAGTTAACAAACTTTATTTCTCACTACCGAAATCAGCAAAGATGACCCTTTAAAGATTATTTTAAACCCCTTTCTCTGGCTCAACTCCAGGCCTACACCTCTCCTTCCTCCCTGCCTGCTGCCGTCAGCTCCCCATGTTTGCACCACGTTACACTCAAACCCCACTGCCTTGGGACACTCACTCTTTGTTTCTTTCTGCTGGTCTTTGTTCGTTCCTCTGCCTGGACATGGCCACAGCCCCTCAGCAGTGCCCCTGTCCCAGCATGGTTCCCCCACAGGGGACAGCCCCCCTGTGCTGTCCCTGCTCTGCAATGGGGCAGCTCCTCCCAAAGCGTCTCCAGCTGTGTCCCAATCAGGGACTCACAGAATCATTTCGGTAGGAAAACACCTTTAGATTGAGTCCAACTGTTCCCCCAACACTGCCTAGGCCACCATTAAACCATGTCCTCAAGTGCCACATCCACAACACCTTTCAAACCCCTCCAGGGATGGTGACTCCATCACTGTCTTGGCTAGATTGTGCCAGGGCCTGACCACCCTGAAATTTTCTCCAGGATCCAACTTAAACCTCTCCTGGCACAACTTGAAGCCATTTCCTCTTGTCCTTGCACTGTTGCTAGGGAGCAGAGCCTGGCCCCCGGCTCCACCCTCCTGCCAAGGAGTTGTAGAGCACACTATGTCCCTTTCCACAGGCCTCCTCCCTGCCACTTCTCCATACATATCTCTCACTGTTTCTCCTCTTTTTCCCAGCCCACCAGCAGACTGGAAAGCTGCCTTTGGTGGGGCAGAAATCACACAATTCACCCAGGAGCAGCTGGCCCAGCCAGGCATTACCAGACCCCTCACCCCAGCACAGGGTGGAGGCTCTGGGACGAGAGGAAAGCTGCAGAAAACACGCCAGGAACAGGTGTAGTGTGAAGGCAGGTGTTGTCTGAAGGGCCCTGGACACAGCCCAGAGCCCTGGCCGGGCTCCTTTCCCCCGGGCACTGCAGAGCACACACAGTCACACGCGGCCGAGCGAGATGCTCTGGTGTGCCACGGCAAAGACGGGGAACACGGGCTCCAGGAAGGGCTGGCGGTGGGAGAAGAGGATGGTGCAGGAGTCAGGGTCGTAGAAGAGCAGCTCCCCCCCTGCAAAGTCCAGCAGGACCCCGATCTCTGCCGGGGCCTTGATCAGCTCCACGGGCTGGGGCTGCCCCGCGTGCAGGAACCGGAATTCTTTGTCGTAGCGTGAGAACACCCAGGAGGCAGCGTTGAAGCCCAGGCGGCCTTCGTTGGCAGAGCCCTTCCTGGGCACGGAGCTGTAGCAAACCCCCAGCTTGTAGGCACAGCTCTGCTCCACGCTGACCTTCCAGGCACACACCCCCGAGTGGAAAGGTGCAGTGGCCAAAGCGTTGGGCCAGTGGTCAAACCGCTCGGGGCAGCCCGAGTCCACCTTTGCCTTCTTGGGGCTGAAGGTCAGGGTTCTCTTGTCTTCTGACAGGCTGAGGTGGGGGCTCAGGGTCTTCTCATCGATGTGAATCTCCTGTGAGCCTGCAAGAGATGCCACATGATGAGCACTGATGCAGTGGGCACCACCTGAGGTAGTCATGGCCATGAGAAACACAAGCACAACCACTCTCTCCTCACACAGCACTCCTGGGGCCCCCTCTGCTCCCCAGGGTGACAGTGCTGGGGGCTCAGGTTGGGTGCCACAGCTTCTCCTCTCAGCCAGGGCCAGAACAAGGCCGACATTCACCAAAGCCCAGACTCACCAGACACCTCTCCACCTTGCACCAAAGGCCCTGCTTATCTTCTTCTGACCCTGGCCTGACTCCCCACAAAACAGAACTTAGCAGGTTTGGTTCACCCTACTTTTGGGAGAGATCCAAACCTAGTTCCTGTCCTTTCCCACCCCTACAGTGGGTAAGCAGAGCCTGGCTGCTCCTCCCCCAGCCAGGGGAGCCAAGAGCCTGGCAAGACTGGGAGGGCTGTGTGCAGAAAACCTGCAAAGCTGGAAAAACAGGACTGGAGAGGGCCGGGCAGGGAAATCTCTTTCCTGCTACAAAGCCCCAGGTGTTGATCAACCCGCCCTGAGGTGCTGGGAGCAGCAAGGGGAGCTGGCACCAGGCTTAGTGCTGAGCATGGCTGTGACTGGATCTGGTTTAGCTGTGAAAGAAGAGGGTGCCCAGCTGCACAAACCCAGCCAGTAGCAGCCCAGGGTGGCCAGAGCACATAGCACCCCTCTTCAAAATCACAGAATCACAGGACTGTAGAGGTTGGAAAAGATGTCTAAGCTCATGGTGCCCAGCCCTGGCTGCATGCTTCCCCCTGAGACCCTTCTGTGGGTCTGCAGGCTGTGGAACTGCACAAGTGTGTCCTTCAGTCCCTAAATTTGTGAAGCAGGGGTGAGGCTGATGCCCAGTAGACTCATCTGCTCCTGAGGGGACCCAGCTCCTGCCAGCAGGTGCCCCTCCTTGCCCTGCCTTCCCCCACCCTCACTTTATTCATTTTAGGCCTTAAACCACCATGGAAACAGGGCTGGAGGGGTGCCTCAGTGGCTCTGCCATTCCTGCCAGCAGCTCTACCCCATCATGCCAGCACCGTCAGTGCCCAACACCCTCTGCTCAGCATCCAGAGCACAGCACAATGAGCCCTTAAAGAACCAAAGGATGACCTCAACAGGGCCATCCCAGAGCCCAGCCTGCTCCAGGACCCAGGTCAGCATCCCTCTAGCAGCAATCAGCACCCAGCAGCAGCAGCAATGCTCCAGGGTTTCCTCAGGCTGCACCTGCCCAGGTGCTCCCTGGCAGATGAACAGAGGCTGAATTATCCCTTTGCAAATCAGTGCCATGCACCTGTGCACGTTAGGTAGGAGTTATTGCAAGCCAGAGTGAGCCCAAAGAGGAGTTGAAGCCAGCATTTCCTTCAGCAGGAGCTGTCAGCCTCATTCACCTGATGATTTATTTCCCCACACAGCAGCCAAAGCTGAGCTCTCCACAGGGTTCTGGGGCTGCCCACGCTGCTGGTGTGCAGGGCTGCTTTCCAGGAAGCCAGAGCTGCTCTGAATTCATAGAAAACACAGCAGCACCAGACTTTATCTTCCTCTGGCAGAAAGAGGGCACTGAACCTCCTGCTGTGCCACACACAGCTGACCTAGGGCTGCATCCTGGTGGTCCATGTGGGGAAACACCACCCCAGTGACACCCACATTGTTGGCTCTGGAATTGCAGTTCCAGGGGAGCATCTGAGGGAGGGGAAGTGCTGGCAAAGTAACAGCAGAGTAATTCAG